ATGGAAGAAGCATGCTGTTAATCTTGCATGCACAGGCGCAATGCATGCACCTTCGAGACGCAACGTATAAAGTATCGGTCTTGGCATGAAAATACGATTGCATAAGTTTATGTATCCTTGAAATGAGAGGGGAATCACAGGGAATTGAATTGATCAGTACAGATGTTGGCATGCTTACCATTTTATCCACTATCGTCAACAATAGAACCCCCTGGCCCTATGGTTTGACACATATTATTATGGTCATATCCATAAGAAATAATTCAGATCTCCTCACCATTATCTCTGTCAGTGCCACTACCAGTGTCTGCAGATGATATAATAATTATACGTTTAACCTCTGAGAAGAACCCTCTGGAAAAAGGACATCTACTCTATGAAAAACCGCCGTAATGTAATATGTATACATTAAACGCCTCTGAATAAAGGACACTTTTGGTGTCCCCTGTGTCCCTTATTAAGAGGTTTCACTGTAGTTCATGAGAAATAAGGCTAACATCGTACCCATGGGAGTCTGCTCTTCATCTGCAGCACCTGTGTGTGTCATACATCAGTGGTCATAAGTCCAAATTCTCAATTGGTATAATATCCATACCTTTTGAGTAAAACAAGACAATGTTGGTTTTGTCACATTCAGACAGAACAATCGGAAGCTGTGTTGGTCCTACATATTTATTGGCTCTTACTTCTTCCGGTATACTGTTGAACATTGCAAAATAACAATAACATCAAGCATGAAATGTGATACTTACAGATAGTGCATAACGCTCTCCTTGTCGTATTTGCTCTTCTGAGAGGCTCCCCTGGCAAGTGCTGCCCACTGCACACGAATTTTCTTCTCAATCTGCTCAGAGGTGAAACCAGGATAACACTGCCTTAAATACTCCCTGAGCTTTCCAGGGTCGGTCAGCAGCGGGGCATCGGGGTGCTGATGCTCATGTTTCAGACCGAGAGCATGCCCAAACTCGTGTCGAATGATGCGCTTGTAGAAGGAAGGGCAATTATCTGGTGATTTGAGATCCAGCCGCATTGTGGGATCTCCAGCTTTGACCTGTCTTGCAGCAGTACCAACTTTAGAGCGTGGGCGTCCAGACTCTACTAGCAGAAAGAATGCAGTTTTAATATACAGTGTTCATAATGGGTCCGTATGACGTTTGTGTTGTGTGCTAAAGGGCAGTTGACATGCACTGTTCATGGACATGTGAATAAATCTATACCATGTACACAAGAAGCCTCAGTCTTGGTACTCAGACTCTCCCATAATGATGGCACTTGTGTGAGCATGTGCATATACCCACGTGTGAAGACTGCCTATCTTTGTTCATTGTAAAAAAATTGCTGTATGGGCTTGTTTCACAAGAAAAAGCAGATCTAGGTATGTGTAGAATAGTATCTGTAATTACCAATAAACTTCACTCTGATGTCAGCGATGTCATCTGCACCACATGACACAAACTCTGGCACAACATCGTTGCCTTGCTCGACCCCACATTGATGCCACTCATTTGCTATCATGAGGATCTCTTCTTCAGTGATATAGCCACGTCTATCATTAGGCCACGCCGGAATCCTTTTGTCTAAGAAACGCACTTTTAGCGTCTTATTCCCTGCCGGCCAGAGGTCTTCATCTCTTAGAACCCATAATTCATCTGCTCTGCCGTCATCTTTCTCAACCAGAGTCATCCAGTCAGTGTAGCACATCATGTCTGTTTTTGTAAAGAACATTGCAGTGCTGAGTTTAACGAATTCTCAGTAACTAGAGGCTCTCCTGCATAACATTGGCTATGTATAGAGATCTGTGCCTGGCCATATACCACTGCTTCATTTTCTTGTTGCCTCTGCAGAACCTGCGACAGAGAATAATAATACTTCAGTAAGACTTGGTCGAGTGGTTCTATCACCGATCTTCTAATTCTCTGTGCACACGCAGTAACAAAACACAGTGTTTGCCACATTGTATTATGAGTGTTGTGCAACACTCTATAGACTGACCTGAACTATCCTGTCCTATTACTCCCTGTAGAGCCTCCACCGGCCATAGGTCCTGTAGATATAAAGCACAGCTTATCCTTTAATTAATCAAGAGCCTGCCCATTCTTACCTACACTAAAACCCATCATACACCATAGCATAGCTACGTTAAGTACGCATGTGATGGCAGGGAGAATTCCTCTTGCTACATAAACATTTTATAGTTTAGGCTATCATAATCAAATTTGTTTTACTATACCAGCTACAACAGGGGCAACTTGTCAAGAAAAACTGTATAAAGAATATAGAAAGGCTAAAGTTCTAACACACTTGTCTGTGGCGTGTTTTGACGTTGGCTACGTACGACTGGCCGCGCGACGGAGCCTTTCAACTTTTTCACAAGCTCACTGTAGGCTTGCATCCGGGAAAAATAGCGAAAAACTTATCGAACCACTCTCTCTTGTTTGTTGCGCATTTTTCCTATTTTTGTGTACACGTCATCCATCAACAAGCCGACTTGTTTTTGATGCAATCAACTCCTGTCATCCAAGTATCTCTTGGGCCTCGCGCGGTCGATGAATTTTTCTGACCAGGTTGTTGGCAACCATTGCAAACTGTTTTTAACAGAATTGGTTATGAAATCATTGTTTTCATTCAGCGCGCGTGATCTCGACTGGCTGCTCGTCGTCCTCCATCTCGAACGAAAAACGCCTGTGCAACAAACGACTGGAACTAGGCAATTCCCTTCTACAGAGGGATTGTAGTATTACTACAACTTGTTCGAAAAGTGTCCTAGATTCTTTGTGTTTGGTCTAGAATGCAGCATTATTTCTAGTACACAACCTTTTCAGTATGCATTTCCTCCATATAGTATACTCACATACTTAGTTTCCCACTCCTTGGAGTGGTGGGAGTGGTGGAGGAGAAAGGTGGAGAGGTTGTGGAGGAGATGAGCTTGAGCAGTAACTTGTGCTGCAGAACACTTGATCTATAATATTATGGTATATACAGATAGTGGGACTATGCACAGAGCAGAGTTATTACAATAGAGTATAACTTTCGGTTTCATAAACATTGCAGCATACCTTCTCCAGAGGCTATGGAATGAAAAAGGCACAACCCTCGCTTCTCTACCAGCATATCTCACTGCGGGAAAAACGAAGAGCATCTTCAAGATCAACAAGTCTCTGTCTGCCGTGTCTTCACTCACCCGTAGATCTTGGCTATTTCTCCAGCTACCCGCCTCCTCGCCGATGTCCTGTCTACGGAGAATCTTCAGGAACGTTTCCCAACCACTCCCGCCCTTCACCGGGCGTTACCGCTGTCCACCTTCACCTCCACGGCGCTGAGAGCTTGCCCGGCTTGACGCGGCGCTAACTCCACCGGTGGTGATTATGCCGTCCAACTGTTGGCAGTAATGAATTTTTTTCCTGCTTGAGGTACGTAAGGGTTTGGGGTAAGCTTCTCTGAACGCTCAGACGCCGCGACAGAGTTTTCCTCGCAAGCGTCTTCCGGCCGGAGTCTCTCCGTGGTTCTCACTTCTGCTGACAAGATCCAGCAGAACAACAGCCCTGCCCTTGATAAAATTTCTACTGCCCATGCGCAGTGCGA